TTTCGCTAGCTACTCTCCATTGCATTCTTGACTTGCCTTGACTGCAGAAAAGGAGATTCGATGGATAGGATGGACGTGGAAACACTGGACGCCCGAGTCCTACAATGCTATGGAGATCGGGTACGTAGCTCAATGCTGCTCCTCAGATGTGGATCGGAGCGGACACTACTACTTGCGGAGCGCGAGAAACTGCACAACCCCGCCCAAATGTCCGCTCTGCGCAGACCTAGGCAAGCTGACAGAGCACCGACTGGGCAGTAAGGCATGTCACCGGCCTACGAAGAAGAAGAGCGCGGCCAATAGAGGAAACCAGGGACGTCTCGCTCACTTGCAGCGGTAAGAATCCGACATCACCTGGCCCCTATAAGGTGCCTCTTGCAAGATTCTTTTCACGTAAAAAAAAAGATAGAATGGATCAACGGTGGACACCGGAATTTAAACGATATTCGAGCTAAACTACGAGATATGGTCAAATTCGTTTACAGAAAACGATAGTGCGAATACACGAGAACGATACAACTCTTCAGGCATAAACTTCGAACAACATCGATGGCAGTAAAACGTAAAAATTGGAAAGATTTTTGTTTCTGTATCTCGGAATTTCCGGCTACGGCAAGGCTTATTCACATTTTAGAAATGACAACCAACGGGAATAACAACTATAATGAAGAATCAAAATCACAAACGATGATATCTTGACTCTACTCCTGCAAACACACTTTCCTCCGAATAATTCAATTATCATAAACAATAATCATCGGGAATGCTCAAAAGATGATCGTTCCATAAATAGTGACACTCCGTACTAACTAAATTGGTATTAGCTGATGAAATAATTAACGGAGAGAAAAATGTCTGGGCAATACCCAAGTTTAAGATTTTTACATCATCAAGCACTGACAGATTTTATCCACTCGCTAAAATAATGAGAGTGTAACGTCAGGCGACCAACGATACTATTAAAACAATATACGTATTAGGAATTCACGTTGAGTAAGAAATACGTGTTAATAGTCTCGAATCTAAACAAAAACACACAATAGCTCGCCAATAACCTTTAAACAACAACACCTTCCACCTTCCCCCTCTCCATAATCAACAATAAGAAGACAATACAAACCAGGTATAAATAGAGCACACCAAAACAGAAATACAGTCAGAACAAAAACCCGACGATTATAATTAAATCTCGGTGATGAGATTCCGATACCGGCAATTAACCTCTTGTTACTTTAGTTTAAGTCGTCTAATTATCGTGTATAGTCATAAGTGAAATTAAGTAACAAAATTAGATTAAGCATCATTTTATTCCGTTCTTCCTGTTACTCGATTTACAACGGAGGTGGGAATTTAGCCGCACAATCGTAACGATCAGAGTCAGAGGGTCGGAAATAGCTGCACGGACTGCTAATCGTGTGTTCGAGCACCCCGGTAAATGCCGTGAACGCGTCGGGGCGAACAAGCACCAACCAGCCGCCTCTCTCTCGGCGTTGAACCTGTGGAATCTGTGGAACGTGTGGAACCTCTGGGATTTCTGGAA